TCAGTGGGGTTTACAAGGGAAGTGTAATGGAAAAGATCAATGTTCATATTAGTAGACTGCACACGACAGAGAAATGTTCAACATGTAGTTTATTGGTTTTAATAATAAACTTGAATTAACAATAGAAAAGGTACATTTCGTATAATATATTCATGCGAAATATTGACATTAATTGGAACTATTCCTTCAAATTTCGGCTACATTTCCTCGTCAATCGCATCAGTACTAATTTCAGTTAATGAACAGTATCACTTCTTTGCAAAAATATATTTTATTCCATATCTTTTCATATTAAACTGTTCTTCATTATCATTAGTTTCAAAAGTCATGAATGGAAATTACCTTAATATACTAACCGGCTGTGATGGCCTGGAGCAGAGGTATTCTAGAGGTTCTAGAGGTATCTAGGCATTCAGGCGCCCATGGTAAGCATAGAATTTGCGCCCCCGTCAGGATTCTTCAAATGAGGGGTTTTGTTTTAGCGGTTATTCTCTAAATAGCGCCTCTGTGAGAGGCTCTCATGACTCGTGCTGTGTCTGCCACAGCATACGAAAGATACGCCTCCGGCCTGGAGGCAGCAGTGCAGTTGCCTGTGCAATCACCGACCAGAAGGTCCTAGGATTCGAATCCCGACACTGGCTGCACAGCTTCTCAGAACTTTACACTGCCTGGAAGAGAATTCATGCGGCAAACTGTCCGATAAGCAGTTTTCCGTCGTTTCTCCGATCATTACTAGAATGCCAGTGCAGCACCTTCTCAAACAGGCAAATGTTCTATGCGCGATCTTCCCTTCCTCTTACGCACTGACTCGCTCCCTCTCCCAACCGCGTCGGGACATCAGTCGGGGGCGTAGGGCTTGCTGCGTGTGGTCCCGCTGGGGTGTGGGTCTCCCGCAAGCCGAGGTGTAGGCCGCGATCTCGGATCTCACGTTTCAGCGGGAAGGGGACGAAGCCACCTCCCCGCGATGAATGTTGCACTACACTTACGATGCTAATGACCAAAGCAAGCCCCGAAGCACGCAATAAAGAATTAAAAGACTATTTTATTTACTACCTAAGACGATAATCGATAATCGTACCACCATTACCGTTCTATATCGTACCTCATTGTTAAATTGGTTTATACGTAAAAATGTCTACAATGTAGTTGCTTCAGTGAAAGACAAATAAGAATGAATATAACCGTACGTACTCATGTTTCAGTCCTTAACCATTTGGTAAGCTTCATTGTCAGGAAATTTTTAATAGATTTTTCGGGCTCATCTTAGACAGGAGTACTTATTTGCAAGCATACGCGAAGAATAGTACGAGTAAATGTAGTTCGTAATTGTTTAGAAAATGTAGTTTGCAGAAAAAAGGATTTGACGACATTGTTGGAGCTGAAAAGGGTAGAATACATTAAAAACGATGTGTGTTTTTTGCCAGCCGCTTTTGTGGATCTCATTACGAAAATCAGTGCTAGCGGGTAAAATGTAGCTAATTTAAGAATTCAATATTAACTGTTATTATTTTTAGAGTTCACAAGGAATGTCATTAGCCTACTGAATGTTAATTTATAATATGTTTTCGCCTACAGTTTATAAATATAACCTAAATGTACATCGGAAGACCTACGCAGGAGAAATGGAAAAATACATTCCACCGTCTTCCTAAATTAAATGAAATACTTCTCATCCAGATTTATCTGCAATTAACATTCTCTCCTGGGAATGGAGACCATGACGGTAATTTATGAGATCTTGTTACTCTTTGCTTTCCGTGGGAGGTCTGTAGTTTTTCCTTCTCGCCTAGTTTCTCAGGATTTCAACCACCCTGGCAGTTAGTGAGTACTCCTTCTTGAGTGTCCTTACTCACCCGACACAGAAATTAAGGCAAAGAAGGCATGGACTCATGATAATACTAGATTCTAATTAGATGTGTACAGACTGCAGTTTCAATATAAGTAACTGCCATTTGAGAAATGATCTCCGTGAAATTACTTACATTGTTTCTTGCACAGTTTTCTGAAAAAAAAAATTAATTGACGCTAATTATTACAGTTGTAGTAGACATTTCTGTCTGCTAAAAAAATGATTAAGCTCTATATTTTCATTCACTTATAACGTCTTAGAAAATTCATTTGAATTATACGGGTCTCTCAATAATGTTCCATTCTTTCATATTTTCGACTTGCAGCAAATCCTAGATATGATTATGACATATTTTTTACTTTCAAACCTCACTTGCAGTGCTGATGCGAGTTTGACTATTTAATCCATATCATGAACACTTTAATGTAAGGAAAAGGTACCGGTAGTTGATATGTCATCAGTAGCTGACATGTTATCAGTAGCTAACACTTTCAAATATAATGTTTATAAATAAGAAAATAACGACCGTGTAATTGTCGCTTTATACGACTTCTGTGTGATGAAGCCATCTGCATTGTAAACCAGTAACTATCATATTAGTCTGGCAATCATTTTGAGTTAAATGGTTAGTTGTGTATTTGAAAGTGTCAACTACCGGTGCCTTTACCTTAATCTACGTAAATTTACTTATCACTACTTTCTTATTTTAGTATTCTATGGTAGCTGCTGAAACCTTTAAAAGAAATACGATATCTGAAGAGAAAACTGAGAGGGAAGGTCGGTAGCGGAATTAAATAAATTATTTGCATAAGAGTGTTTGTTACGTGCTGTTAAAAAATAATGCAAACTTTACAACAGTAAGTAAGCAAACCACGAAAGAAAATCTTTAAATATTGTGTATATTGAGGAAGAAACGGAACTAGTAATTGAAAATTACCGTCAACTTTTACGAAACAATATAGCTTATGACGCGATGTAATTAGGTATTTTACCGCTACTTGTTAATCTTGTCCTTACGATCAGAAGACGCAGGTATTACAAACCGTTTTCCGCTAATATAACTAGTTAATCGTTACGTAAACAGTTGTACTTCCAGTATCACACTCGTTAAATCAGAGGGTGGATTAATACATAAACCGCAGGTACTCAGAGACCCACTAAAGAGGAAGCTCCAGTGTTTTATTCAAAATAATTATTATATAAAGAATTGTTAACTATTTTGAATCTTAACATAAAATTAATGAATTTACTTCAGATTTTTAAAAATTAATTATTTAATTTTTGGAAAGAAATTTGACGAAAAACAATGTCCACAAAATTATTTTAAAATAGGTTAATCTATATTGTATTTATTATTTGAATATTAAATTTGTAATTTCAAAGATTTTAGTTTTATTTTCATATTGATTTTGTTTTCGTGTGTTCAATAATTCTGTATTTTGGAGGAACCCCAGTTTCATTCTTCATAGGGCCTCTGAAGATATTGATCAAGACCTGCAGTTAATTATATTTAACTAGTTTTTCTGTCAAAACGGAAGAATTCTCGTCATTTTGCTCTTAATTTGCGCTTCATTAAACTGTCGCCTTTGGGACGACGGGCAGCTTTCCGAGAAACCGCGCGCTGACCGCAGCGTGACATTTTTGAGGTTTGTCAGGTAACATGAGCCACCTCCCTAAAAGACCCCCTCCACACTTTTTTATGTATCATGTCAAACCGGCACTGCTCATTAATTTTTGGGGCCAACAAATATCAGAGAAGCTTGGAAAAAGTAGCGCTACGTTGATGGCCATACATTTGCAATAATTATTTCCAGATCTTGAAATTATGTGGCGTCTTATTTGTTCATAAGAAGATTTTTGGCATACAATGCGTAGGAAATTATGCGTTGTGCACACTCAAGGTAGTTTTATGTAAATTGCGAGCCTGGTCGCTGCGACTACGAAAGCTCGACACTACCATCTTGACATCTCACTAACCTAAGATACTCATAACCAGGAGTCTTATCCTTGTTAATTATATATCTCCTATTTTCGTCGCCGTATCGTATACCCTAATCGTAGTTATCTCCCCATTGGCTAATGTAAATTTTATATGGCATAAGTCCAAAGCATATTTCAAAGCTGTTCCTTCTTCGGACTTTTTCCATTTTGGATATTTGAACTTAAACGTGTAATTAGCCTGATTGTCATTTTTATGGGAAACAAATGCTCGTATTCAACATTAATGTAAATTATTTGAGCTATGTGCACATTTTCATATTCGTATTTGGTGAGCACAACACTTTTTTGAATATACATTTTGAATTCTTCAAACGTAAACGAATGTTTCCGACTTCCTAGGATCACAAATCAGACGCTCAATTACAGCTGTAAACACGTAAAAGAAATATTTCTTTCCGGTCCCTCCATTATTGGAGGTTTGCACGCTCAAGTTCGGTATTCTATAATTCCACAGCTGTTATGAAGATAGGAGACGAGCAGGTTAAATGTAGGAGAAGCGCGAAGCAAAACAATAAGTATGAAAAACAAAATCGGTAGAAGCCTAAAAATAATATTTTTTTCTGGACTCTAGAGATAGACTTTATAATTATTTGCAATTGTACGAAATTTCCATGAATATCAAATGTGCGTTTCGATATTTGGACGTGTTTTGGTCGTTTTAATGAAGCTTTGATTTTTTTTAGTTTCACGTGTTTTGAAAACTGTAAAATACTTTTAAAAATGGTATATATGGAATTGAATTTTTATATCAAATGCAGTAACTTGCGCTTTTCAGCTCCGCACATTGCAGATGCTGTGTTCAATACCCTTTGAATAGAGTTCAATATGCTTTGAAAGAGAGTCGAATCTCTGTTTTCTATAGTCTTCATCAGTAGCGTAAGGAAACGACTGCGATCCCGCCCGCCGAACGTTCATCCGCGCCCCCTTTATTAAAGTGTACAGCAAACACAAGTAGAGTTGTTCTCTTAAATAATAAAATTATCCGCCAAATCGGGCTCTGTCCCCTGGGCCCGCCCGCATCGCGGGCCTTGCGGGCCCGGGCGGTCCGCCACCGGTCTTCATTGTCCTTCGCATTCCCCGCAGTGGACTGCAGAAAAGACTTTCCGAGCCCCCGAGTGATACCTCTCTGACGTACTGTGTGTGTGCGCAGGGCGACTACATCTGGATCGAGCCGGTGTCCGGCCGGGAGTTCGACGTGGCCATAGGGGCGCGCGTCATCTCGGCGGAGGGCCGTCGCATCCAGGTCAAGGACGATGACGGCAAGGTAGGTGACCCCGCCCCGCAATGGGCCGAAAGGCGCGCTTTGCAAAGGAAAACAACACAAATTCTCCGCAAGTGGCAACATTAGTGTTTTCAAGCTATTAAAAGAGCTCCATATATATATATATATATATATATATATATATATATATATATTGTGATTGCTAGTTATATAAGAAAATTAATCATTCAAAACGAACCATTTTTTTTCAATAAAATTAATATGGGGAATAAAAATTTCAATGCAATTTTAACTTTGCAAAGATACCAATAAAAAGTGATTCAATTTTGCAAAAATATTAATAGTTTAACTGAAGTGTAACTGCATTTTATTAATGTATTAGTCGCTCATGACCGCTGTTGTTTATGCGACTTAAAATAAATATAGTTCTAAAGAATTAATGTTTTATTTGATGAGAAATAGTGTTAATTAAAAAGTCTATATCTTGTCTATGCTTCAATCTGCCAAAGTGCGGTTTTTAAGAAAAATAGCCTATTTAAATATCTATTTGTCAAGCTTAAATGTAGCTGCGACCACCTGCGTCCATCTAAATGACAGTGTTTTGAAAAATGTTTACAATTCCAGAAAAGCCATTTCTTCACGAACCTTGTTAGAAACTTTTCACATGCGCGCGAGTTTGAATTTTGTCATAACAAAAATCATTCCATTCACAATACGTTGATATTAACAAGTGAATATAATAAAAGTAACAAAATCTAATAATCATGATCAAATGTAGCCTAGGACACGAGAAAAGAGATGAAGATATTTATTATATAATTGTCACCTTTCTTGTCACCTTATGGGTCGCAATTTCGGAAATATGTCCCGCAATCGTAAAGAAATCCAAGTTGTGAAAATGTTATTGAGTAACAAAGGAATTTAAATATATATTGTATTCATTCCTATACTGCGTTTTCTACACCTTCCTATTTTGGTCACGCAAGTGAACTTTTCGTATCTCCGTCAAAACGAAAATAATTATTAATAAGTTGTGCCAACTGTCATTGACATTTTTTTACAAACGTTAGTAATGTTAGATGTTACGTTAAATATCTGTAGCCCGCAACAACATTTTAACGCGTTATTTTAAGAGAAACGCAGTGCGCGCCTTTCCGGTCGTTTCAGCCCACTGTGCGCTGCGCCACGGCGGCCTGCAGCCGCGGATGCCGGCCACGCACAGTGGTCTGAAGGGGGCCCAGCGCCTCCAGGCCCGCAACTACGGATTTACAGCAAAGGATTTTTATGGGGCTATACATTTTTGGTTCTAATGATAGTATCCGGAATTTACAAAAATTCATTACTAACAGTCTGCTATTTATAGTAATGTCCTAACTACACCAGTGAAGAATTTTATTATTTTTTAAATTATATTTATTGAACAGGATGAACCCTTTACAAAAAGTTAATACGTAGCAAAATTATACAAATATAATTAGGCAATAAAAGCGATAAAATAAAAATTGTCATTATACACCAAGTAAAATAATATATCATGGGTCAGGTACAGACACAAATATGCTGTCGTTTCCCACACCCACTCACAAACGCGTAATGATGCGCCAACAGAGATGTAATGAGGTTCTTTGATAGTATAGTGTAAACAGCAGTGGAACTCGAAATAGTGGACTTATAAATTACTGTCTGGAAGTGGAACTTGACATTTGACTAGATTTAGAATCTCACTGTCAGCTTGATGTCTGATCCCTGTTCATTTCATGTCTGCTTATTAGTGCCAGTCGTCATATCGCACTTTTCTAATGCTAGTCACATCGCTGTAACTGTCTTCATTTTTAAAAGGTTTGTTCAGGACAGTTTATCTCATCAGGAATATGTGTGTGTATATAATATAGATAGATATGTAGATAGATAGATAGATAGATAGATAGATAGATAGATAGATAGATAGATAGATATTGTCGTTTATTTTATAACATAGCATTTGGTGTTTTTAAAATCGACGGTTAAAGGTAATTTAGTAAAAAATAGCTGCAGTACCACGCATTGCCAGAATTTTGAATTAAAACAGTCGTCTATTAGGCTGGAAAAGGAACGGATTCTATCATTTGCCCTCCCGCCCTCCGCCGCGCGCCCTGAATTCGCTCTCCTCTGACGAACCGCGCAGCTTCACTGTGTCCCTCTGCGCCCTGTTCCGCCAGGCGCGCCTCGCCCTGCTGCCCACGATCGCCACGACCGCCTTGCTGCCCCTACAGTTGCTGCCAGCAACTCTGAAAAGGTACATTGTTCTTCCAGTAGTAATGTTGACCTTCAGTTACTTCAAACATAGAAGTAATTTAGTAAGAATTTTTATGGATTATTAGACACGTTTGAATCATTTTAACGCACTCCCTCACTGTTTGCGATTTATTCGCGAAAAAATGAAGGAGTACACACTAAAATTTTGTTTACGTAGTAAGTAAGAGAGATTATAATACAAAATAAAATCTTAAAAAATAGCCAAAATTACGTACGGAAAAATAATAAACCTTTCAGTGAAAATGTCAAAACGATTTATTTAGTCGTTTGCAAGATTAGGCCTGACGAACAGGCGGACAAATAAAAATTGTCAAATGAATTGAATGCGTTTTGATATATTGAAAATTATGATATAAGTTTACTCGTACGGCCATACATAAAAATACTCGTACGAGTTATTTATGGAATCATAGAGAAACACTACATGCAATTTACACATCTTTGATAGTCTTTGTGATATAGGGTATTATATGGTTTGATTCAAGGAAAACAAAGTTTAAATACATTTTAATTGTTAGGGAAAATCTCGTGTCCTAATATTTTCTTTAAATTTCTCGTACGGATTGAGTGCTATACACTGATAAAGAAGGCCAGGTCCGATTTAAAAGGAAAAACGTTCTCGCGCGTGGAAGCCTTGTGTAGCGCATTCAGCCTAGTGTGCGCGCCGCCGCCGTCGCCTGTCGCGAACCGGTGCGACGAGAGCCCGCCGCCGCGGCGCGCCGGAGCCGAAGGCGTGAAAAAAGCGACGCGACTGCGAAGGCGGCGTGCCCCGACCCGCCTGGCACGCGCGCCCTGCCCTAGTGGTTAGGAGCGCCTTTGCGGATGATGTTTCCGAAAAATAGATGCGAGCACTTTTTGTGTTCGAATTAGGCATACGGCAGAACCTGTCGGATGGACCTCGTCCTCAGTGACGGACACAGGGAAGTATTTGGGGGTTTCAGATCAAACTCCCTATACATATTCTTGAAGATATAAAATTTAAAAAAATGTTCATCTGAAATACAAAGAAGTGGGTGGTGCGACGAGACCCCGCCGCGAAAACCCTTTTGAAATGTGATGCGATCAACATTTAAAAAAACATTGAGTGAAATTACAACAAAAATATTGAGTGTTATGGAGTTCAAAGAGATCAGACGTACGGACATACCGGACTGACAGAATCAAGTCTGATTGCTCGACCAGGTCTGACTGCCTTCTTTCACAAATTTGAAAATAAATTTAAAATATTCATTAAAATGAGGAGATTGTATGTAGGATCATTGAAGCGTCGAAAATTTGAGCTATTGAGCATTCAAGCCACATAGAATACGTTTTAATGCAATAAGTAGATCCCTCAGGTCAATTTGAATACCACGCTTGCGTTCGTTGATATTTAATTTACAGATTAAAACTCTATTATTCGAATACGTTGTGCCTCTGAATTCGATTAAAAACACATCAACCAAGGATCTCTGATGGAGTAGGTAACTAAATAGATTCGGTATGTGAACAGCTTTCGCTACGCGAATAAAGAATGAAACCATAAACGTTAATGATGCGTCTGTCCTTTCCTCGCGGAAGTGTGGGTGTTTCAAACATTCCCAAGAAAAAATATAGAATGCGACCGGAATTGTGTTCTTCGAAAAAATGTTACGTGACACAAGGCCATAGTGGACTTCATCGCTCGTGGTATTGTGTTGGAGTTTCAATAGTATAGAGTCGGGTCAGTTACAAAGCAAATGGAATTTCATTTGTAACTGACTCACTTTATAACTATACTTTCATCTGCTCGCATATCTACTGCCGACAATTTTTAGAAGACAACGGAAAGAAATATCTAGACAAACCATTCTGTTTCCCATAATCTCAACCAAATCAGGGTCATTCAGCACTTAAACCTGTTCTTTTCTGGCTTAGTAGGTTGTTATTCAAGCGTAACACGTGTTCTCATTGTCCTGTCTACCAGAAGAGTATGAACACTAATTTTGCCTTGCTTTTCTTTTGGATGCATTACAACGTTGCTTTTGATTTGGGTCTGAGATATCCACAACGCGAGTTTTGCGTAATGTTAGAATCTAACGCTAAAATAACAACAACAAAAAACGTTCTCACGATTGTTTTTTGTTCGGTCTTCAAGTTTGACATACAAAAAATACTACATTCATTCTTTCAATCTTCCTTTATTTTTAGTTTTCATAAACATTGACTGTTAAGGATATGAGGTTTTGAAATTTTGAAATTATTCTGAGTTCAATTCTTCCTGTCACGCGATGGCAGTAATGAATTGAATAATTTGAATAACATTTCATGTTAATTACAAATAAGACGTTAACTCAATGAATGTAGTTTATTCATTAGTTGGCGCATCCCTCTCCAACCCACAACATTTGACAGCGTCAATTTAGATTAAATATTAATTTTACTGAAGAATCACAGTATTTTCCGAGAATTTCTAAATCATAGATTATGCGGTACTCGCTATTTCACGATTTATTCTTCTATTGCCGAACTCCATTCTTCATGGTTTCTATGCAACATCAGGGAACTCATTCGTGGGGTTTATTTTATTTGGGCTGCTTTGGTTCGCGTTATAAGTGATCGCCTTGGCTCTAATCTTAAGACATTCTCAATCACAAATGACTGGTACATGGGATTCTCAGTCACAAATGACTGGTACATATGGAGTGTGATTCTCAATTCAGCAATGACTGGTACATGGCCGTGTGATTCTCAATCACAAATGACTGGCACCAGGCAGTGTGAATTCT